TATTTCTTTTGTTTTATGTCTATTTTCTTGTACGGTAAATTAATTATTTACATAAGTAGATCTATGATTGTACCGTACTTAGTAAGAGTAAATTGAGGATATAAAAACTACAGAAAAATGAAAGGAAAAAGTACGTATTTCAAAAAAGTCTAAGATGTTATGAAAATATATCTCTCAAAAAGTTTCGTAAGTAAAATTTCAAGAAGAAGGTCTAATAATTACCTGAGGCAAGTAAATGGCAGCCACTATGGCACCCATATAATTTACCAGTAGTATCCCAGTGCAGAAGAATGCAATCTTTCTAAGTCCGAATATTGCCGCAAATGTTTGTATGTTATGCCTATAAACATTATTGAGTAAATTTTTAAATGAATGTTAAAGACAGAAACTTTTTTCCCCCCGGATATCTAGAGGGTAAACGTTATGGAAAGCATTTAGACTTTGTTCAATAGATGTGATGATACATACAACAAGTACACAAAGAAACTTACTTCATGTCTCCTTCAACATCGGTGAGATCTTTCGTGATGCTAATGACCACGAAAAACAGTGTCACAAAGGTAGTGATAAAAACTATTGGGGGGCTGCAGAGCAAATCAAAAGCAAAACAAGATATTTTTTAGGAAAAACTAATGGTCGTTAAGTTTTTGCAATAATTCATCTACTCAATCTCAAAGTTCTACGTACGAAATCCTTATTGTTTAAGAAATTAAATTACATGTCAAAATCTAATTTCAAGAACAAAGAGCAAGACAATAAAAATAAACAAAAGATTTTTGGTTTTAAAAAACTGCTTCGTACATCCCTCCACCAAAAGGGAAGTCCAATGGAAGCTCTGGTAGCGTATAGAATACCGACATTGTGAATGGCGCCCGCCATCTGCATATGCCAAACAATCTTTTATATAAATATATATATATATATGTACGTATATATGTATGGTTTTCGAAATATTTATGTAAAGCAATTTTTTAATTTTTAGAGCACCACTGTATTTCTAAAGAGTACCCGAGAACTTATATCAAAACATGATTTAATTACAAGATTGAGAGGGATCATGACAAGAAAATAATAATATTACCAACGGAAGGAAAATTGATGTTGCAAGGGAATATCTCTTGAATCTAAAGGGAGGAGCTGAATAGAAGGTGCCAAAAAAAAGACCGAAGCAATAGAGCGACAGAGTGATTAGGTCGGCATTCATCAACCACATGATCAATAAGCCAGCAAGTAAATAAAATATTACTAAAAACCATGCTTGTCTAACTGAAAGTTCTCCTGTTGGTATAGGTAAATAAGGTTTGTTCACCCTGAAAAAAGAACATAAAGACAAAACAAGCTTAAATTGCTTTTGTTAGGAATTCATCAAAGGAAAAGAAAATAAAATTCAAAAATAAAACGCGTTGTTTTAACTTCAAAATAAAATTACTTTTGCACGTAAGAAGGTTTAGAAAAATCACCATTTGAGAAATTATCAAAGGTGCACGTTATGAAAACAATCATAATTACATGCACCTTTTTAGTATTTCTTTTGGAAATTAAGGACGTTGCTCGAAGGCAGAAGCAAACTTTTTAGTATTTCTCTTATTTTTTATTAATTTTTTGGAAAGGTTGGTTTTCTTTTTCTTCAGTATGAAAAGAATATTAAGATATACATATATATATATATATATAGATATACATATGCACACATTGAAAGCATACCTATCAATATCGGCATCATAAATCTGATTGAGGCCAATATAATAAGCGTGCGCTAGTATTATAGTAACTAGTCCAGGAAAAGTCTCACTATTTTCTTGTAAAAGTTTACTTACATGGCCGATACAATTGCTTGCTGTACTGCGTAGGGCCTCAGGAATTTATAGCAAGCGGATCCAAAACGTGAGGTTTTGGCGAGTGCTGAATCGGAACTAGCAGAATATTGAGCTTGCGAGAAATCCTATAGATATCACCAAATTTGTTGCACTTTATTATATATAATTAAGTTGAATAGAAAAACCATGTTGCGCAAACTAATCAAGGCACATGGTTATCAAATCGCAAGAGTACTACTTAAAATGGCACATTTTTATTTAACTACTAATGAAAATTTTGTTTGTGGGTCCCACATTTACTTCAATATTAAATTTTTTTTTGCATTATCCATTACTAAAACAAGTACTTAAATATAAAATATGCTTGCTTGTATTGGGAAATTGAAAGAAATAAAATAATATATACCTGGATAGGACTGGGATTATGTTGATTGTATGATAAGGATATTGAGAACCTGCTTTGGCCATTGACCGGTCTCACTGGCTTGATCAAATCCTTGGTTGATGAGCATTTTGAAGGAAAGTTTGAGGATTTGAATATATTTTTGGTTGTGGGACTAATAATTGGTATCAAACTTAACCTATTATTGCCATGGAAATAGGCCATGCAAGGTCGAGCAATAATATTCGATGGTCCTCCAAATGAATTAGAGTTAGAGATTGAGATCTCCATGAACGGACGTGATAGAAGCAAAACAAGGAAAAGTAAAGGGAAGAAATTAAAAAGAGTGAAAAATGTAAACCAAATGCTTCAAGAGCTTGATGAAAAATTTATTAACTTGATAATTTTCTTCTATTATTATAATTCCACTTGTCCTTTCTCTTGATAATTTGGTTCTTATATCTTATTGGGTGCATATACTATATTATATTTGTTTCGAAGGTGATTGCGCCAGCCGCCCGTGATAGTTTCAATATGGTTGATTGATGCCATTAAAATAAATCTGATTGATGCCATTAAAATAAGCTCCCCAAAAAAGCATGCAATTGAACCACAAAATGCTTTAAACAATACAGACCAGGTCAATAGATGTGGGTTCTCAACAAACACTCTTGCAAACAAACAACTGCTCAAGAAAAAAAAGACAACAAATGTATATTAATTCTTTAGTTCTTGACCCCAAATGTCTTTTGCACATAACATGATATTAGGGATGTGCTTGGTAAATAAAAATAATGCAGAAAGGTACTTTGCTCACAATAATACACTTCTACAATTATTTTCCAAAGGGCTGCAGTTCTAAATTAAGCCATCTAAGTCATAAATATCTATAAATAACTATACAAAATGTAAACGAGTTTAGGCCCCGTTCATTTTGCTTATTCGAATTTAGAATTCGAGTTTTACTACAGTAAAAAGCTCTCACAAACAGTCACATCTATCTTTTTGTTACGATAAAAAGCTCTCATATAAAGTCAGATCTCAACTCAAATTAAAAACTCGAATCAGCGAACTAAACGAGCCCTAATTATATCTACTTTTACATATCTCACTCTTCATTTGGGGCATTTTGAAGGAAAGACGTTGGAGGATTTGATAGTAAAAGTTTTAGCCGTGGTGGGCTTAATTGACATAAACATCAATCTCTTGTCATTAGATGAGGCCTTGTAACGTTGAGGGATAATAGATGGCACCCCAAATGAAATGAAGAGAGAGGGATTGAGAGCTCCATTGTATGTGAATAAACAAGCAGGGGAAAATGAAAAAGAGAACAAAAAAGCAATGTTGAAAAATAAAATGCTTCAAGAGCTTCCAACTTTAATAGTACGTAGCATATTCATTGTTATTACAGAGATTATTTCCTTTTTAATAAGATTATATTTTTAATAAAATTACGATGATTGAATAGTTGATAAAATATTTACGATAATTAATAAAATTAAATTTTTAATAAGTAAATTTTCATATTTACACGATGATTATATATTTATGATATCTTTAATATTATATATATTCATATCATTACGTCAGATTCTGTGGATCGTCATCATCGAAGATATCAATGGAATCTTATCACGTTAATTGACTTTTCCCATTTGCGTGAATCAAGATCTTCAACAAGTAGTTGCTATCAATATTATAATTCTCCTTACATAAAAACGTACCAAGGCCACGTGGCCAAGGGCTTTCACAATCATCTAGGTCAACCCATGACTACAAGACAACGAAGATCTTTTGCATGCGTATCTATTTAATTTTTTAATTCAATAGTTTATAATATATTATATCTTGATCATTTTCTTATCATTACGCAAGATTTTGTGGATCTCATCCAAGATATCAATTGAAACTTAACGCGTTACTTGATTTTTCCAGTTTATAAATAACAAGGATATCCAACAAGGCTGTAGCTATTATTAATTCTCGTTCTTTAATTTCCAAAACCACGTCACGCTACTAATTAATTAGATATGACAAGTGGAATTATATAGAGTCTAACATTATGTAGACATAAATACTAGTCAAAGAAATTATAATCTTAGAAATTTGATGCTCTTCAAGCATTATTTGTCGTTAACTTCTTTTGCACTCTTTTACCCCTTTTGTCGTAGTTGTTCGGAGCTCTCAGATTCCCTTCATGAGTATAGGTTGATACTAACAGATAAAGCTCACCGCAAAAATTATCAAATCATCAAATTAACTTATTTTGAAGACATTCTTGATTTTATAGCGTACGAGTGAAGTTGTTTTCCTTTCTCGAGTGCCCCCACAAAAGCGCAGGCACTCAAAAGACTTGCTACCGTGACGCAATCTAGTTTTAAAAGGTCAAGCTGCATTTTCTCGAACAACTCCAAGGCTTTAACACTATATCCTCGCTGAGCTAGACCAGATATAAACGAGTTATACGAAACTCCGTCCCTGTTCTGCATTGAGCTAAAAATCATAAAGCGTTAAAAGCGCATTGCACACGTAGGTTTCATTTTTTCATTTGTGTTCAAACTTGAGAAATTATTAGAAAATTTGGTGTACCACTTTATTATGTTATTATGGTAAATTTGTCTCTAATTGACGTATAATTTGTTTATGTCAATCCTATTTAATAATGCCTTTTCTAGTTAACTTTTATCGTTTAATTACAATAACGATAGATACTCAAATCAAACTCCTTTTTTTTTATTTTTTTTAGCTTTACATCCTCTAATTCTTCTCTATTAAAGTTACGCCTCCCTATTAAGTGTTTAATAGATACACAAAGGTATAAAAAAAAATCTTTGTACCCTGCACCAGTAGCATTCTTTTATAGCTCTATTGGCTAGAAATAGTCATCTTCGTGCTCAAAATAGAATTCGTCCAAACTTTATTAAATGAATTTGGGGAGTTTCTTTGGCAATTAGCGACACAAAATTTTGAAAAAGCTAGCAAAGATATTGTTACTAAGGGCTAACCAGATTTTCAGACTTCAAATACATAACTTTAGCCATGACGGACAAAACAAACTTTTTAGAGCAACCAAGACACTTCAGAGCAGAAACTTAGAGACAGATATTCAGGCATAAGCCCGAGAACAAGAAGCATTTCGCGATCTGGATGGCTTCTGTAACCTTGCTCATCTACAACTAAGAAACATCCGTACTCCAAAAAACAGCTATCATCTACACCAACACCGTCAAGGTGAGGCGGTCACTTCACAGAACGTTCTGGGAACTAGATTCTACGGTATCAAGGCGAGCCAGTAACTCCAGGAAAGAGTTCTGATATTTTGTTGAAAACATCCATTACCTGAGACAAAAGGGAAAGAAAACACCATCTTATACATATATAGATTTAGATTCTGAAGCATGGTCAATCACAAGACTTGAGACGTCCAGAAATTTAATAACCAAAAGTCAAACTATTCATTTAAGATTTCATCAAACTGCATTTCGATCCCAAATCAAGTTCCTAGCAGAATGAAAATACATAGGACCTGTTTGTTTGCGTTTTCATTTTTTTTTTTTCACGGTTTTCAAAGCAAAAAAATGAAAACGGGTGTTAAAAACGTGTTTGGTGCAATTTTTTTTAAAAAACAAAACCAAAAACATTTTTGTCTTTTTGTGGAAATCAGAAAACGAAAAAAGGGTGTTTTCATTTTCTCATTTTCGTTTTCTGTTTTCTGAAAAACGGATTTCACTTTTTTTTTTTTTTTTTTTTTCATTTTCTTCCCTCTTTTCTGAAACCGTTTTTGTATTATATATGTTTATTTAATATATTATTATTTAATATAATAAATAATATTATTTATATAATATATTTAATAATATTATTTATTTAATATATTTAATATATTATTTATTTAATATATTTAATATATTATTTATTTAATATATTTAATAATATTATTTATTTAATATATTATTATTTAATATATTATTACATGTTTTCAAAAATAACCACTAAACGCAATTTCAGTTTTTTTTTAAACTGAAATCAATCTCTAAATAAAACTACCAAACGTATTTTTAGAAATAATTCAAAAATGAAACTAAAAACGTTTTCATTTTCATTTTCGTACAGAAAATAAAAACGTTTTAGAATCAATTCCAAACGCACCCATACATTTTTTTTTTTTTTTTTGCTAAAACTATATATATATATATATTAAGTCCTGATAGACGAACTGCAATTGAAAATAAGATAATTTTAGGAACCACCTACCTCCTTGTCATTTTGATATTTTGCAATGCTTAATGGGTTCTGTGAACACTGCAAAAGCAATACACCATTCGGTTAGCATCGTAACAACAAATAAAACAACTGAATCTAAACGCTTGCAAGACGTACATCCATGATGGCTTGTTGAACTCTTGGGTTTTGAAATGCCAAGGCAACGTCAGGATTGGCCATAATCTTTGAAATAACTTCCTCAGGAGTAAGCCCAATTTGGTCTGCCAAATATCACATAATAAAGGAGTAGAATTCTGAGTTAAACACATTATAATATCGAAGGTCCACATTAATGCATTTGTGAATTCGTTTATGCATGCACTACATTTGCACATTGCACAATCTGCTTCACGTTTGGTGCAGATAAAAAATTCGAGACTGAATAATTTGGCAAGCAATGGTTTATATTCATGCTTCCTGTCAAATATTACAGCCAAGTACTTCTATTCTCGATGTACTTGAAAACGTATTGCTTAGTTTCCGGAATCAACTACAATTCTATATAGACGTGCAGTATAATAAGTTTTAAGAATTGCAAGATTGGTACGTGCATGAGATAGTGGCGCCGGAGTCCTATATTTATCTTTTTGGGACATGCGACTTCTTTTTAACAATTAGATCTATAAAATAGGCTTTCTGTAGTTACAAGTTGAGAGTTATACGGAAAATTCATTTATGTATCTTATAAGTTGAGTTCTATGGTATTCATATGAGACCCTTTTTAATATCAAGAAAGAGAAATCCCAAATATCCATTTTAGTCATCACTTACCAAAAAGTGACGATGGTAAAAACAAATTACTGAATAAGTAGCGACTAACAAGCAAGGTTTAGACTGAAATCAACTCAAAAAGACAGAAGGGAAAAAAAAAAAAAAAAAAAAAGAACTTCAACTGAGCTTTTCATTTTATTCATAACCAAAGATGATCAGATCGACAAAGGTGTTGAACTACATAAATACCAAATTCATATGCCATGATCAAATTATAATAAAATGCAAATGCTCAGATAACATATACGCAATATCCTGCATAGAGGAAGATACTTTCAAGCGCAAACTTACCAAACTGTTGCTTAACGTCAGGACTGCTCAGATCAAAATTCTTCAAGGAATCCATCACGCGGTTGTCCCATTGAGAGTTTCCACCCATATTCTTTCTGGAGGACAGTATGTATGGAAAAAATTAGCGATATTCACTAACCAGCCATTACAGCGTTTTATACAACATAATTACTGCAGACGGCTAGATACAAACAATCTCCCTTCTGCCTTATCAGACCCCCAAAACAACAGCATCACCCCTCATTTAGAAAAGAGTGCACCATTATAGAGTTTGATTATCTAAGCAAAAATAGAATACACAAATAGATAAAACTGAAAAAAACAAAACAAAACAAAACAAAGAAATACGTACTACTTCTTTTCATGACCATTGTAAAAGTGTTCCGGAAGCAAATGGTATATCAAGATTATACACAAACAAACATATCACATCCGAGCTTGGAATCATTAATAGTGATTATATATATAGTTTTATATATAACAGATTAGAAAGAAATCAAGTTTCAGTATAGCACCCTCATGACGCGCCATGTATCGAATAGGAACAGAAAAGAACATAATCGAATATGTACTTACTTAATAATAAAGAAAAAAAGACATAATAAAAAAAAAATGTACATTGTACCTTTAAAAAAGACAAAATGCTCATAATTTCATTGCAATCATGAGAAAAATGTTTCTACATAGTCACTAATTTCACTGCAATCATGAGAAAGTTGTTTCTACACAAAATCACTTATAGACAACGTGGAAAAGGAACATACAACATGTCTTCAAGTTGCTGGCGGTACTGCGGATTTTGCAACATCCCTATTATAAAACATACACAATATTATCTTAGTGTTCAGTAGATGTATAGAGTTGTGCAAGTTAGTGAATTGACAGAAAAATGCTGCATCCGCGTCAAATGGATTAAAAAGTAACTGAAAGTGAACTTATGGCAGCTTGCAGAATAGACTTTGGAAAAAAAATCAATTTGAAATAGCTAATAAAGAACTTTCGTTGACTCTAAGACATTGAACCGAAGTCCATCTACTAGAATTTAATCTGTATTGGCTCAACAACCACACGACATCCCAAATTAATCCCCATGCAATTTCCCACCAAAGCCTTATTCCTTTGTATAAGGGACAAAAAAACTAAGGACAAAAAACATATACATGAATGGAAAGTGAAAGGAAATAGGTACGGAAGGATAGACTTACACTTGAAGGTAGTAGGATTTCTCATCTCCTCAGGTAAATAGCTACAAGAACACATAAGCAGTTAATCTGCTTTCCCATAGCACAAAAATCACGAAACTGATATTTCTCCATTTAAGTTTACTAGGATGTGTTCACAGACTAGCCTCTAATTAATAAATAAACTCATATACATAGAGATCACACACGCACATAATAGGAGATGAAGAGGACCGCAGAGAGAGAGAGAGAGAGAGAGAGAGAGAGAGTAAAAGCCCAAACAAGAAAAGAGCAGCAAAATTGCAAACAAGCTTTCCAACAAATCAAAAGCCAGAAAAGGGAATATATTTTCTTTTACACCAAGAAATTCCACAAACCCACTTATAATCTTTGGGAACCATGAAACTCCTGGACAGGTAGGTGGCTCTGATGGATTGAACCCTACACCGTGTGGGAACAAATCACAAGCCTAACTGCCCGACAAACCCTTAGGTATTATAATAACCAAAAAAAAAAAAAGAAAAAAAAAAAAAAAAAAAAAAAAAAAAAAACTTGAAAAGAAAAATCTTGGAAAGACCTCAAGACAAAAACCCAGGAAGAAACACCCTATACCATTCTCATGTTTATCCTCATCCACATACAAAGTTATTTTCTTCGTTTCCAAACAAAGTATCTAGCAAATACCCAACATTGCTTAATTCCAAAGCAATGAAATTGGTGTTTCCCCTCCTTTATCTACAAAATTAGGTCACTGTTTCCTAAAGTTTCCTTTTCAACTATCAAAATGAATCCTCTTAAGATCCCAAGATGAAAACAAGCAAACTCAAGTTATAAGTCACATTGCATGTTGTTCCAAAGAAAATTGAAAACATTTTCACAATTTATAGTCATTTATAACTTTCAGAAAGAACAATGTTAAGAGAAAAGCATATTTTTCGGTTTTTTAGAATAAACAGAAAACTATAATGAACTTTAATTTCAAAGTAAAAAAAAAAAAAAAAAAGAGTTTAAAAAGAAAGTATATTACGGGTAAACCATCTTTTGCACAGTTGGATCTTCCATCATCTTCTCCAAAGCTTCGACGGAGATGGTACTTTCTTGTCCTATTCATTGGTAAACATTAGGATGTCAGCTCAAACTCTATGAAATGCAAAGTGAAAAAAAAAAAAAATAAACAAAAATTATCTCATGAAAATAAAACAGGGGGAGGGGCGGCGGCGGTGGGCACCACACACACACACACAAAGAGAGAGAAAAAAAGATAGAAAAAAGAACTTCATAGCAAGGAACTACAAAATAGACTAAATCTCTACTTACGTGGAGGGGACTCTTGCGATGCACCAACACCGTGCTTAGATGTAGTTCCATTCTGAGAAACCTTACATAATATGAAAATAGTTTAAACTTCTTATACAGGACCAAGCGAGAATGACTATAGACAGAGAAAGAGAAAGAAAGGAGGAAGAGAGACAAAAGAATGAATAGTTAAAAGAAATTAGTGTGAGAAAGAGAAAATCAAGAGGACAACAATTAAATAGTCTGTAATAAATTCAATTAAAGGCTTCAATCTTAACATAACGAGCGTATTTATAGATAGGCAATCCTAATTCAATTAGCAAAGGAGAGAAACTAAATTAAAATAATATCTGTAAATGATAAACTCAAATCCTATGAAATAGGCAAGTAGTCTTAATAGACAGAAATTTAGAATATCTTATATCCAATGCTGCAATAGCTTCCCAACTAACAATAAGCTTTAAATAAACTCAGTAGCAATTACTTACTCCAGCTGTAGGACCTTCGTTAGACGAAATGGTCTCCTCAGCATCTTTTAAGCTACTCTCAAAAGGACTCTTTTGTTTAGTTTCTTCAGGAGAGACATCTACAAAAGCTGCAAGTAAAGAAAACTTAATACTAAAAAAACACTTAAATGTACAATAAATAGGACCGATTAAAAATTCACTGTGGTGTCAATGTCTTCACCCATTTAATGATTCAGGGCAAATCTGCCAATACCGATTATTTAATCCGCAATCAACTATAGCCAATTATAGGGACGAAATAATATTATTATCATCTAAGTGCTCAATATGTATATGAATAAACAGTACAAAAAGGTTAAATTTTTATAAAGGACGGGTATAGCAAGTCAATTAAAGCTTTTTATAAATACATAGACAAAGTTTCTAGCTAATAACAAAAAAAAAGAATTTGATTATAGATACATCAAGAGGGAATTTTCCAACTAATAATTATAAGAATTAAGAACTCAGCTGGCCCCGATAGGGAGGCTCATCTCATGAAATTACTACCACACACAAACCAGATTCCTAGGATGTATGTTATCAATCATGAATCATCAATCATAATTAGAAACTTTTCCACCTAGGGAAAGATTAAACATGATAGATGCTTATAGTTTTGATGATTATTAGGAAAGATGGGTGGTACACTCCCCACTTATTGCCACACTAGAAGTTATGTTGCGTTGATGAATTTCTTGCATTTAATCATAAGCACATCTATTGACCAAATAATTTGAACTTCAACAAGACAATATGAATCGACTATTTTCCATGCTTCTGAAGGAGTGAGGCATTTTTCCATGATGTGTCATTAGTTTGTATTCTATTGCTAAAATTTAGAGAACATCTTGGAAACTAACACGCTTTTATCATAGTAATCAGCATTTTTTATCCTCACAAAAGCAACATCTCATAGGGACAGACCAAATGCAATCAGAATATAAATGGTTCAGAAACCAAATTGCAAATATAGAAAACAAAAATATTTTTATGCAATGTATATAAATAATATAAGAGAATTTTTTTCTTACCAAATTTCTTGGCTTCTGTCTTTTGCTCCGTTTCATCTTTGACATCAGCGGCTGGGGTTGCTTCTACCGTGGTTGCAGCCACATCCACTGTCACCGCTGGTTGAAAAGCCGCAGGACGAGGCGTGCTAGCTAGCCCTGATGGTGATGGTGAAGGTGGTGGAAATGGAAAAGGTGTTCCCGGAGAAAAGGCAGCATTGTTGAATTGGTTATTTTGAGTATTCATTTGGCCCATTAAAGTCTTAAAAGCTTGTTGCATCGCATACTTCTGTGGGAAGATAATTTGGAACAAGCAAAAGATATGAAAAGAAGGCAACTTCAAATTGTATAAAGGAAAAGAAAGAATTAGGAATTCGCTTCACTAATGCACATTCATGAAGTGTCAGGAACTTGCAGCTGTCGAATAAAATGAAATGAAAACATCTAAACATGAAATTTAATACGAAAAAAGAAGAGAACAGGAGTTCTTTTTGAAGCTACAAAGACTAATAAGAAACTCAAAATAAATGCTTCCAAGTTCCAACTCGATATAATCAGACCTAATGGACCATCCATAAACTCCTATAGTGACTGTACGATATCTTGGATGCATCCTCCTAGCTCTAAGCTGTCGAAAACCAACCAAAGCGGCATAATATAGGCCTACTTGTACGGGAGAATAACACTGACCTTCAAGATTCCAGCCACCTGCCATTGCAATCAACTCGTCAAACACGCAGCATTTGAAAATGTTTCAACAAATTCCAAACAAATACCAAGTAAATTATCATCTCACCCATGTAAATACAACTGAAAGCCCAACGCCAACACCAATCCAAAAAAGAGGTGACCCTCTACCGAAAAAGAAGAAGTCTTGTGTGAGTGTGAAGTGAAAACGCGCGCTATAACTAAAAACCAAACAAAATTTTAAAACATAATTGAATGTAACAATGATTACATTTGTGTTGAAGGGGGAGGCACAGAGCCTTGCGGGACGCCAACAGATGTTGTTTCTTGACCACGTGATGAAGAAACGCTTGCAAAACGTTGCAGTTTTAACTTCTCTAGAATGTGTAAGGAAAAAATGAAGCAATTCTCAGTGAAAAACTACAGATGTAGTACAATTTCGTACATCAAAGACATAAATTCACCAAAGAATCAGCAAAGACATAAATTCATATGTTAAGCATCCTTGGAAAACAAACAAAGATTAATTCCTCTCTTCGGATTGTAGAATCAAACACTTGTCCAACACAGAAAATCTTCTCGTCAGGCTAATTTATGTTTTCTTTCATTTCCATTTGAAAAAAATCCAATCAGTAAACAACGAAAATGAGAACTCTAAAGGAAGTGAAAAAACAAAGAAATTCAAACAAAGGAACAAGCTTTTGATTAAATCGTCCAAAAGTTAAATCAATTTTGATATGAAGCACAAAAGATAAACCCTAATTGGCCAAAACCTGGAGAAGAAGAAGAAGCGGAAGCGCGGAAGCGAGACGGAGAAGGAGAGAAGACAACTCTGAAATTGGAGTTGTTGTTGTTGGAGTATCGGAAGGGAAAAGGAGAAGTCTTCCGTAAGGAGGAGGAGGGGCGAGAAAGGGAGAGAGATTGGGGAAGAGAGAGAGGCATCGTCACCATTTGAGAGCTGCTCTTCTTTCTCTCTCTAGCTCAGCTCTGCAAAAATGGAGTTTTATTACTAATTACTGCAACTGGATGAAGAGAGAGAAAACTGGTCAATGAATGTGAATTATGATGATTAACAAGCAACTCAAATTACGACGGAGGAAGCAGAAGAAGAAGAAGATGGACTACGCAGCTGGTGGTGGGACAATCAAGCAAACTGAAAAGACAAAAATACCCCTACTTTGACTTTGAAATCCTTCTTTGTTAATGATATCTTGCCACATTTTGCGTGGTCAAAGGGCAAAACAGTCGTAACAAATAGTTAGTTGTTTTTTTTAAGAAAATAATAGTAAAAAAGGATAAGTTGGGCAATTAACACAATTTGGGTCTAATCCGGAAATATTTCTAAAGTTTGATGGTTTAAGCTACTACTTCTAGAAGTCCGAGGACGAACCAAGGAAAAAGGCAAAGTTCCTGGGGTGGTAAATTCGTATTTTTAAGGCCGTTTAGTTCGTTGATTCGGATTTTTAATTTGAGTTTAGATGTGATTTTATGTAAGAATTTTTTACTGTAACAAAAAAGTTAGATATGATTGTTTGTGAGAGCTTTTTACTGTAGCAGAACTCGAATTCTAAATTCGAATCAGCAAAATGAACGGGACCACAATCATTTTCTCCCTTTTCACAGCCGTTGGATCACACAGCTTGGCATCGGACGGTCTAACTTGAAAGAAGTGGGACGAAGGCAGTTTCGTATTTCTTCCTCTCTCTCTCTCTCTCTCTCTCTCTCTCTCGTTAGGGCTTCGTCTTGGAGAGGAAAAAAGTTGAGAGCTTTGAAAATAATCCAATCGATAATGGAGTCGGTGGCAGCTGAGAAGAAGCAATCCGAGAGCAACAATGGCGATTCCACGAATACTGCGCACTCAGTTCTTGATTCTTCTTCACTCTCCGATAACAGCTCGGAAGCCCTAGAACGCCAAGCTCGCGACCTCAAAGCCGGTCTTCATCCCCTCAAGGTCTCTCTCTCCCTCTCTCTCTCTTTCCTTCTCACTCTCTCTCTACTTATAATGAAAGATTGATCGGTGGATTGATTGATTGAGATTGGACAAATTTTAATTTTTTATTGTATGTAATTCGATCGGCTAGGGATTTGGTTCTCGGTTTTATTATGAATTTCTAAATTGAAAGTTCTTTCTTTTTGATTGGTTGCTGATGTTCCTAGGCTAGAGCATACTCTTTCGCTCAATCTTTTGTTGGATATTTGTTGCCATCGAATTTGGAAATGATTCGTGAGTATATTATTCGAGGGATTGATTGGTGTTATACATGAGATCATTTGGATTACCTTTTGTTAAGATAATTCTTGATGTATTCAAAAATCAATTTGTCACCTAAATTAAACAAATTTTGCATGATTTTCTGTTTCTTATGAGCTTTAGGCCCGTTTGGTTGATGGGTTCAAACCAGTGATTTTGATTATGACTTTTGAAACTCAAATTTTTTGTGAGAAAGAAACACCGTAGCGGAATCAAAACTATGGGTTTAAACTCATGAAACAAACATACCCCTAGGGTTTACATGATTTGGGCTAGGCAATATGGTTCTTGTTCATGGATGTAGAAAATAAAGAGTACCTATAGGCCATAACATGGATGGATAATCCTTTTTTTTAAGATATTTTGTGATCTTTTGATGCACCAACACTTATATTTGTTATGATGTTCTTATGATTAGCACAAGTTTGTATTTTGGTACACTCGTCGGACACCTGGAGTTCGAAGCCAAGCATCTTATGAAGACAATATTAAGAAAATTGTGGATTTCAGCACGGTAAGATCTTTTTTTTTTTTTTCCAAATACAACGAGAAGTCTAAAAAGTGGTCTGAGCCAAATTTCTTTCTCTGCTTCGATATATTTATCACTTTTGAAAATGTGCATAACTAGGTTGAAGGTTTTTGGGTCTCTTATTGCCATTTGGCCCGTCCAGCTTCTTTGCCAAGCCCAACAGACCTCCATCTTTTCAAGGAGGGAATTCGCCCTTTATGGGAGGTAAAAATATCCCTAACCTTATTGGCCATGCAATTCAAGTAATTTTCTGTTTCTAAATATCACTGAATTATTCCTTTTTTTTCAATATATTTCTTTTAAAAAAAAAATGACCAGGACTCTGCTAACTGCAATGGTGGTAAGTGGATAATACGGTTCAAGAAGGTTGTGTCGGGCCGTTTCTGGGAGGATCTGGTAAGGATTTTGACCGAACTTTTGAAAATGAGTAGTAAACTATTACGTTCTGTTATAAGCTGGTACACTTTTTTTTTCTTTTTTTTCCTTTTTTTTGGTGCAATGTTGTTTGTGCGGAATGATTCCTTATCAATGAATAATAGTCAGCCAAGTTTTGTGCACATTTGGTTTTTGGCTATCTCATGGTTGTTTATATAGAAATCTAGTGGTCACAATTTTGAATCTAGGCTGGAAGCTGTTTTGGAACGGAAATATCATGGTATATAAGATTACTGTTAAGCAGTTATTTTGGAAATTATGTAAGTGGAACGATTCATGAATCCCTTTTAAACATCTGGTCAGGGAGTTGCTTAGAATTGTGTTACTAATTGATTCTTTATTCACTCATTCAAGTCATTTCTATTTTTCTATTCGCTCCTTGCTAACACTAACATCTGACATCCCAATTTATTGATCTACTTCGGGTTAGGACATGTGTAGTTTGTTGGTTATTAAAAAGCATGGAGCTACTTGTTTCTATTTTCTAATTTAATGTTTATTCGAATTTACGCATTCTTCTATATTTATTTGGTCACCATTTACCCTTGCATGTGTCTGCAGGTCCTTGCATTGGTGGGTGACCAACTTGATTATGGAGATAACATATGCGGGGCGGTACTGAGCATTCGTTTCAATGAGGATATATTAAGTGTCTGGAATAGAAACGCATCTGACCACCAGGTTGATAAGTTACAGATCTCTATCTATACTCTCTTTCCATCTCATCAACTGCATGTATTCTTACCTCGCATTACTTGTTGCAGGCTGTAATGGCTTTAAGAGATTCAATCAAGCGGCACCTAAAACTTCCACACAGTTATGTTATGGAATACAAGGCGCATGATGCTTCATTGCGTGATAACTCATCCTACAGAAACACGTGGTTGCGAGGGTAAGCGTGTGCTAGCTTACCATTATGCAACCACCCAGATTAGCTGTAGTAGAAGGTTTTCGAGTGGAGGCTGCTAATAGCTGTGGGGCATCACTTACTATGATGATATGTACACACTTTCTGGGGATCTGTAGATTGACTATGAGAAACTAGTATTCGTACTAAAAAGTCAATGATGGTTTATCAACGGATTTGCTCCTTTGACACATGAAATGCCATGCTTTGAGTAACTGCACAAAAAAAAAAAAAAAAAAAAAAAAAAAAAAAAAAAGGGTTGGAACGCCGACTTGAGCTGACTACGAGTTATGCGCATTTTACATTAGTTTTTGCCCTGCAGTGGATAATTATAGTACCACACTGTCTGACCTTGTGAACGTTCGCCAATGTATTGTTTTAGTATGTGTGATAGGTTAGTTTCCTTTTTATGATATAACCATTATTATATAAATACAACAGGGGAAAAGACTTATTTTGGGATTTTTTTTGTGCCTTTAGAAATCTACTTTTATTATTTATGTCTAAAAGTGAAGCAGAAATAAGTCAATTTAAAAAAAAAAAAAAAAAAAAAAAAAAAGGCTTTCTTACTTGATAATTTTGTACGAATAGCGTAGTCTATAACGGAAATTACTCTCTTTTCCACACTGTAATGTGAACTAAATCATGTTTTTAATACCACAACTATATGCGCTAATCTCATCTAGAATTTTAGGGAAAAGCCTGCTCATATGTTCTGAATAAAAATACGCGATAATCATGCAAGTTTTTCAGGCTCTTTTAGAAAATTAGAATCGAAGGGAATGATTGTCAAAAAAATTATATATATTGATTAAAAATATTGATTTTCATAGATAAACATTCAGGGTTGAGAAAATCATGAAACAAATTCTTCCCATAGACTTGTATTTTGAATTCCTTTCAACAATAATGTAGGACACTTTCCTCTAGAAAGAACTAGTTCAATTTTAAGCAAAATAAACAAATAGCTCAGCAAAATCAAAGGTCTCACGTTGAACTGTGTTGGAGAATTTTATGGTACCTATGATGGCATTGCTCATACAAATTGATTATTAAAAGTAACGAAGCAGGGCTCAAATACAAATCAGTTTGAGCCCTGCAATAGAATACAAATCAGTTTCACCAAAGAATATTAATTGATACAAGATCGTATCTTTCAGGAAACTTGTATACAACAGAATCCAGTCTGGTGTCTTCTATGCTTTGCAGAAATAATCACCTGTATAACTGTTATTATTTTTGCCTGGTTCTAGCCAATCTACGCCGACTTGTGTATAACAAACGAATTAGTGATTCGATATAGATTGAATGAAGGGAATGCGAAACTAAAACTTGTACTCCCTCTTGACACGTTTGGTGCTGTTCAAAAGACGCTTCAATGAAGGAAGTGGCTGTGGAACAGGAACATTCATCGACCTGTATAGTTTTCTGAAATTTTCATTGAAGATCTTTCTAGGCCCGACAGTAGATTGATTCTTACACTTTTGAACTTCTGTTTGTTTCTCTGCATGCCCCTCGTTTCGTATTTCGTTCACTTCCACTGGCAGACTGTTCACTACTGGCTCTGTCCAAGTAACTTTACAGATTTTTTCCTCTTGACATGAGAATTCCTGTTCTAACTTTTTGTCAACTGCTTGAGAAGGTTCATCTTTATCTATCTTTGATATTTTCTTCTGTTCCAACCGGGGACATTCCTGGATACCAAGTCTGGCTCTCCCGAATAAAGTGATCAGTGGTCTTTTTCTTGGAGGAGACGGATTGAAGTGTTCTTTTTGAGAAGTGAGAATTTTTACTGGCTGCAGTTGAGAATCACTAGAACTTTGAGACGGCTTTTCAAGGGCTGGAGAACAATCCACAGTTTCATCCGATACTTATCCATTTAAAGACACTTCTAAACTAATGTCTAGAAGCTTCCAAAGAGGATCATTTGGAGATAGTCGAGCAGTGAAACAATGCTTCTTTACATAATCAAGTTCCATAGCCACGCAACTTGGGGTTGTTGAAATAACCCATTTAGGAGCAAGAAGTTGCAAGGCCCATTCCAATTCGTCTCTGGAAGAGTGCATTGAATAACAAACGTGCCAAACACCAAACTGGTCCCTTATTGATTCATTCATTCTTAGTTTTGTCCGTCTTTCATCCGATGAACCCTCGTCCTCACACGCATACCACTGGGCAGAAGGGCGGATTATGAGGGGTTCTGGCTTTGAGTTAGCTTGGGCCTGCACAAGCTTTGCTTTTGCTCTTTCATACAGTTTAGGAAACCCATCAAACAAATGGAACCGGGAAGATGGATCTTGGGAGAGGATTTCAGGAACTAGAAGTGTCAAAGCATTGAAACACTCGGAATTAGCTTCCTTGTCAACATATATCTTGGATCCAAATGTCCTAGACACGGCAGCCAATATCTCTTCCTGGCCGAGAAGATCACAAGTTAGATAAACCACAGCTGCTTCAGGATGCTTCCATATGCAATTAATAACCTGCATCAAGATAGTAAATTTGCAGTCATGCCTACATCTTCATAAAAACATTACATTTGTCAAACTGAACTTTCAATCAAATTTACAATAGAAATCTTCACGTGTGTCGATGTAAGATTTGATGGCAATAATCAGAACTTGGAAGGGAAACACACACACGCAAGCACGCGCGCGCACACACACCAGAGATAAACTTCTATGGTGCCAGGGTGCTTATCCATGTTCATCGTCAAATATTTGTCTATTAGAAGAACTGATGCAATAAAATCTTTGGAAACCAAAATCATATGTAATAGATCAACACTTCATATAAAGAAACCAAGTATACCTGTCGGATAGCTGCATGCTTACTGGGCATCATTCTAGAGAATTTTCCAAAAGTGCAATCTAAAAAAACAAAATCAAGTGGACACTTGGGTTTTCCTCCTTTCTTGCCCAGATACTTCTCTGGTAAATTCCGCAAACACTCGGGTGACAGCCTGCAATCTCCTGTGTGCAGAATGTTACCAAAATTCCCTTCAAACAGGAACATTACAGCTCCTGAAGTTCACATAAATCCATGCCAGAAAAAGGAATATCTGTCAATAAAGCTCTCTCAAAATCATAACAGGTATTGTAATTTGTATGAACCAAGCTACAATTTGCTGAAAGATGAAGGAAGCAAAACCCCCCATGTCCTGTGTTGCTAAAATAACAGTTCACTCCATACAATTAGTAAATTGTATTGAATAAATCCTAAAACAGGTTCAAATTACGCATATATTTTTTGTTCTGCAACTACTCAAACAACTCTGAGAACAAAAGAAACCAAAATAAAAATCATTATAACAAAACAAGAATTCCTAATTTCTTAAAAATACTTGCTTTAAACCTGTCCAGGTCTATTTTGATGCAAATTGATTTTTACAGTGAAGGTGTTATTAATTCACCCAAAAAAAAAAAAAAGAAAAACAAATAATAACTGACGATTGAATGGTTAAACATAAACGAAATGATCGTGAACGAGACGGGAAAAAGGAACAAAAATTCAATCGCTTCGAAGAAACCGACACGAGAAATCAATCGAAAAGAGACAAGAAGAGAAATCATTCCAATACCAGGGCAATGATTCGCGTCGAAAGCCGTAACCACGAAGGACCCGTCGGGGTCATCCACGACAATCGACTGTCCAACCTCAATTCTCACGAACAAGGAATCATCAAGCTGAAGAAGAAGAAAACAAAAGCAGAGCAGATTAACACACAGACAAACGAACCCAAAAAACTAAAATCGAAAAGGAAAAATCTTGAAGAACCTTGGGGAATTGTTGAAGGAGGAGGGAAATGGTGAGGTCGGTGGAGTAGATAGGGAAGGAGAAATGGGCGGCGATGCCGGAGGAGTGATCGCGGTGGGCGTGGGTCAAGAAATGGTGTCTCTTCTTCGTCTTCGAAGACGGACTCCATGTGTCCACCGAGAATGGAAGCCCTTTCGGCATTTCGATCGGCATCTTCTTCTCTCTCCCTCTTTCTCTCTCTTCGTTTCTGTGTTTCTCTCTCTATATCTATAGGTGTAACTGTAAGACATTTATACAAAAGTCGGAAAGCTTCCGGAGGAAGGAACAGAAAAGAGAGGGAAAAATTACTTTTTGATATCTCTTCTCTGGTATTTTATTTTCTGTTACTTTTTACCGCTACTGTACAATTTATGAATTGCAAAAACAAATTTTATCTTATGTGTCTATGAATAATAATTTACTCAATGCATTAAAACGACTATTTTGTTGAATATTTGGCACTTGGTAGAGGGATTCGTTCCCTGATTCGAATCATAATTCATGGTTCGCTACAGTATTTTCTCTCACAAAAAATTCACGTAAATCGAAAATGATTCGAATCACATAGTTTAAATCCTCTAACCAAACGTAAAAAAGCCAAATATAGAGACAAAAAATGTATATTTAGATACATCATGTAGAAGAGTAAAAACTGAACCACGTTTGTGTCAATGTCTATGTAAAACCATGTCTTGTCATAATCTAGAACATCATTTGTCCATGAAATTGTTTCATCTAACTTTGAAATCTTAAAATTGACAAAGGATGACTTTGTTATCAACCAACTCCTCTAAGGTGAGAAGAATATAAAGTCCCACCAAATTTAATACTGCCATCCCATATATCTCATTCATCATTTCGGGATTCAGGGACCATCAAGAGAATTGGTGAATCTGACTTAATTCAACTCAAAATTTGCGCACATTTGTTGTTTGTTTCGCGGGTTTACACCACAACTAAAATCTTTTCGATAGTTTTTATTCTCATAAAAATTAAACTTTTGTCGGAATCAAACGGGCTCTCAATTTCGCTCTCATCGCCGCACCCTATGTTGCACAATCCATAGAATGGGCAAGGTGCTAACGTGAGGCTCCATAGTATCAAACCTGAGAACATCCGAAGAGGACAAGGAAAAACATCCTGAGACGGCAAGATCCAACACTACTTTCGAAAAAAGATAAACCTTTGACTTCTATAGCTTCCAAGACTTTAACTTCCCTACCTTTGCAGACTTTCAGCTATTGCAAAATCTATAAAATTCATCAAAAACGAAATTCTAAAAAAGCAGCAGCAATTATGCAATTAAAAAAAAGGGTTAAAAATTAGAAGGAAAGCATCAATCTTGATCTTATTCTGCTTACTTTTATACCTCAATGGGAAGCAACAAAAACACAGACGAAACTAGAAAGAAACAAGACAATAGTGTAATTTTTGGCTTCCGCTGCTAAGCGTGATCCATGGTATTGACAAACAAACCATTGGCAAGACTCCCGGGACACCGGATGGCCAGGCATCAATCAATCAATGCTTTCCATCTTCTTCTTCGCAAAACTTGGAGTATTGATCGGCATCCATCAAGCCATTCACCTCACCTCCACTGCTCACTTCGAGCTTCATTATCCATCCCTTCTCATATGGACTCGAGTTGATCTATATCCAAATCAAAGCAAAACAAAAAACGAAATGATTTAAGCGTAATTATAAAGAAAGTGATTGGAGGGACTGGTTGTACATTGTATATTGAAGCATCGTCAACTTAAAGAAACTGACTAGACCTTGCAGAGGTTATTACGCTATTATTTACCGAAGGGAAACTCGCACCAGCTTAGGGGAACTGTTTACATTGCTTAGGGGACCCACATGACATAGTTCAATAGTTGAGACTTAAGTGCAACACCTGAAAGGTTGGGGATCCAAAACCACGATTTACCCTTGAAACAAAACGATGCATAAGCATGTATTGGCTTCTAAGCTTTTGGAAAACAACCAAAAACGTGAATAAATCAAGCTGGAACACCATCATCCCACAAATAGGAAAAAGCATCCAGTTAATAGGAATGTTAATTCTTATCTACTCCCCACTTCAACATTCATAGGAATGTTAGTTCAATATTCAAAACGATTAATAGAAAGTTGTAAGCCAGTGCATTCGACATAATTATTAACTACACATAACAGGTCTATAACTGTCGTTTCCAAAGTTTTATAGCGACGTTTGCACCAAAAGATGGTGGAAATGAAAACAATATTTGGATTGTGTAAATCCTAAAACAGACTATGTGTGACCAAGGACAAAACAGTAATAGAGAAAATAAGAGAGCTCAATAAGATTAAAAATACAAAGGAAAAGAAGAAAACTTCGTAAGTTTTTTAACAAGAAACCTTTAGAATGATCGTCAAAATTTGCAGGACTAGTGCTCTGTTTTGCAATGACAAAGGATCCATACTACATAAGGTACCTCATCCCTGACAAAAGAAGAACTGATTTTATACAATCTTTTTAAGAACACAATTTTCACTTTTGATCTTTCTCAATATTGATAACATCATGTTTCTTCATTAATCCAAACTATGACAAACTACCTTGTTCCTTTACTAATAATTTCACTGACGGAATTTCATAACCTAAATCTTGACACATAAAAGGCAAACAAACAATAACTAGTCAAGGTACACAAAATCGAAAATTTATGCAACCACTTCGTCATGAAGTTCTTACAATCAACAAAGTGTAAAGAGTGTACTCACCAAACCAGGCGAGCTGTTAAGCTCCTCATTGACTTCAACCACCTTTCCTGACATGGGAGAGTAAACATCGCTTGTCGCCTTGACACTTTCGACGGCGCCAAAACCTTCGCCCTTGGTTAGAGATTTCCCCACTTCTGGCAGTTCGACATACACAACATCACCCAAGTGATCTTGAGCATGATCAGTTATGCCAACAGTAGCCGAGTTCCCCTCCACTTTTGCCCACTCATGGGAGTCAGCGTAATTCAAATCCTTCACAACTGCAGAATCATAAATAGGAGATAAATTAAAGCAAAAGGACCAAGATTGGTAATTGCTAAATAAAGGAAAAGTTCTCAACTTCCCTATTTCCAATAAACTAATTCTATGTCGCCACATAAAAAAAATGCTCGACTTTTACATCAACATTTCTTGAGCTTAATATCTAAGATTTTCTTATCCTTTCTATAACTTCTATCCTCCCAATATCAACATAGAGATTAGATATAAAACAACCACGAAAATCTCGAGGGCGATAAGTCTTTGACATTAGAAATGATAATAAAAAATAAGGAAATTAATGCGTTTTCTTTACAGAAATCTCCATACATGTAAACCCATTACCATCACCAAAAATGGTGGAATCTCCTTTTCAAGATATATGCATCAAGAGAGAGGTCTCTAGCATTGTAAACCGCAGTCAAAATCATCAAATGAATCCAATGAGCAATAGCCTCACTATTTCAAAACAAACAAGTATACAAAGTAATAACTAACAAAGAAAAAGATTCACAAGCTGGGAGAAAGTAGGAGAACATGTGAAAATGACAAGTCTGCATAAGCACCTTTCAATAACCGAAGGAATGGAATAAAGGGACGACCTTCCTTGTACTAAAGGCCCGCCATTCCGAAGGAATGGAATAAAGGGCCTACAAAAAAGTAAAGTATTAACGGCCCACCATTCCAAAGGAATGGGATAAGGGCCGACCTTCTAAAAAGAAAAAAGCGTTTGAGGCCCGCCTATAATGTGGGTATTTTATGGAACAACAAAAAATCCAATCAAATGATAAGAAAATAGGTTAAATTATGAAATTTTGCACCCAAAAAAAAAAAAAAAGAACCCAGTAAGAGAGTGACAGAAGTGTCGGGAAAATTTGCCTAAAACCTAAACAAATAACAGAGAACGAAAAAATAACAAACAAAAAATAAAAGCAAAATTTACACCAAGAATTTTATATAGATTCACCAATTTCGCTACGTCCTGTTTCTGCCGCTGCACAGTTAAAGAAATTATTTGCAGAGAAAAACACTCAATCTCACTTTGTGTTTCTCTCACACTCAAACGATGTTTCCTAGCCTCACACTCCAATTTTCTCTCAAAAAAATTCATCCACCTAAGTCCCCATAACATTAGATATTTATATAGTACAAGAAAAGCCCCCGAAAGCCCTTAAAAAATACCTAAAACCGACCTTGAAATCACCTGCCCGCGATCAGTGCCACGGCGCTACCTTCTCGGTGCCGTGGCACTACTTCAAATCACACATGGTGTGCTCGCTAGCGCCGTGGCACCCATTCTTGGTGCCGCAGCATTACGGGGATGGTTTCAGCAGTGCCATGGCGCTGAGCACTGGTGCCATGGCGCCAGGCATGTAACCTTCTAGTGCCGCGGCACTCACTGACCGGGGCCACGGGACTACACATATTTTTTCTCTTTTTTCTTGCTTCTCCTTGCTTCCAAACGTGATTAGGCTCCACATCTCATAACAAGAAGAACGTGCTATTGATCCAAAGAACAAAGTAAATGAAAAGGGTGCAAGAACCAAATGATCTAAAGGGGAAAAAATAACAGAAAAGGCATACAACCCATTTTAAGAGGAAAAAAAAAAAGAAAACGAAATAAACGAATCAAATTCCGTTCATAAACACAAACATAAAAATTAGATCTTTCATTGCCAAAATAAATAAATAAACACAGATCCACAGCATCATTGATAGAACAAGTAACGTCATAAGAAATCATCTCTTAACGATCAACTCGTTTATTGACCTACAGATCTTACTCCAAAGAAAAATGAAAAAGAACATATAAATATATCATCTTCATCATGATCCATATATACAAATATATAAACATATATATATATATATATGAAAATAAAAGATGGTTGGTGTACCAGAAGCAAAAGGTCTGGTGAAGACAGAGATTCTGAGATGTGAAGCAGCCCTTGAAGCCCACAACAACATTGTCGCCATTTTTCGCTTTACGCTCCAAAAATGCTTCTTTCTTCTTCCCACTATATTCTACCTCGTCACTTTTTTTCCCTTCTCTTTCCAATACACAAAACTCACTCTCTTTCTTCCACTTGGGTTTATATAGTGGTGGGTTGGTGGGTTTTTTTTATTTTTTTTATTTTATTTTTAGTTTTTCCCTCTATAATTCTTTTCCTATTTTTCGTTCGGGGGTGATTGTACTACAGATGTTAATGTATAACCATAATGAGAAAGTAAGAAAGAAATATTAATTTAATCCTTTGAGAAATATGTAAATTGTAATCCTTTGATCAGGAAAAAAAAGAAAAGAAAGATCCTTTTAATTAATATAAATTTTTCTTTGTTTTTTAAATGAATGAGGGATGGATGATTTTTATTTCTTTTTGATAAAACGCTTAGAAAATTCTATTACTTTTAAGTGAGAATTAAGGTGACTTGACAGAAAATTTGTTTTCTATATTCGTTCATGATTCATGATTTTTTACAATGTTTTTTTTTATAAAAAATACAAGTAAAATGAAAATAATTCTAAATTATAATTCTAAATCTATGAATCAAACGTCCACTGATTTATTATTAGAGTGAACGAACTTATAATTAAATGGGCTGTTATGGCTCGTCCGGATGGATGATATATTGTGGCAAGGCATATAAAGAACTTTTACAGCGTGGATAGCTAAACCTTTGAATCAACTATATACATACATATATATTAGATCAAAAATAGAAAATCATATTTTAATAAAATCTCTCATTTTTTGTTGTGAAAGAGGATTATTACCAATATTGTTTTCGAGAATCCACCAAAAGTTTATTACAATGCCTCGGGGAATTTTAAAGAATGAAAAGAAAAGGCCACTTCAAGGTTAAATGCAAAGAGGGAAATAAAAATAAAGAAAAGAACATTTCAAGTTGGTAGGTCTATTTGTCAACAAACACATGAAACAGAAGTTGGTGAGGGGGCGGGGCAGAATGATACTAAAATAGTATAATACACCTCTTTTTTTTTTTTTTTTTTTGAAGAATACACCTCTGTTTTGCACAAAATATATAAATAAATAACAATACACCTATGTTTTGTCATTTAAATTGTAATTAATAAAAATAAAATATGGACGTCACGTGGCCCTCTGGCGGTTTCATGAAATTCAATGAGACTATGGTCCATTTCAATCCAATATATGTAAATGTATACATATATATATATATATGGTCTTGTCTTTTTGTCCCCTTGAATAACTATAAACTTGGAAGTTTGGATAGCAGGTACCTTTAAAGCTTGTTTTCTTTTGCTTCATGCCAAAATGATATGTTTGAAAGACATATTTTGTCCATCCCCATAGTCAGACGAAATGAATGCCCAAATAAGTTTTTGACCCATAGTTTTTGTTTTTGTTTTTGTTTCTGTTTTGTTTTGTTTTTTTTTTTGGTGATTTTTCAAATGTTGTCAAAACAACTCTGCTTAAAAACCATTCTCCAACTTGCACGCAAATATTAGAAAGTAAAAAAAATTGAAAAAAAAAAAAGGGGCTAAACTCCTTTTTCCTTGGGGCCTAAAAATTGTTGTAACAGTTCCGGTAAAATAAGCACAACTTTTAAAAAGTACAGTTCTTAGCACCAGAGTACAAATTTAACTTAAAACCTCTCTCTCTCTCTCTCACTCTATGAATCAAAGTAATCTGGTTCAATTCTTTTCTGAATTAGTGCACCTGAACACCAAAAGAAAGAGAAGAGTTGCAAAGTCCAGCAAACACAATAATGATTGCTGCAACTCAAACTACTCTACTTCAGCTAAATAATCATCAATTTCGGCTGGAGTAAGCACTCTGCAAGAAGTATGGAGCATAAAAAGATCATGATTAGTGGATGGTCTCAGAATGAGAAATTCATCAGAGCAGAAGTTGGGGGAAGGAATTATACAAGTGAAAGTTTAAAACGACGGTGTTTACTTCAGGATTAAACCTCGCAAAAATTCAAATTAAAGACTATCTGCAGTTTCTCCTTTTTGGAATATCCCAGAAACCACCCAAACGTATTTACAGATTAATTAGGAAGTAAAGACAAATCTTGCCTGAATTTTTTGTCTGTGCCAATTATGCCAATCTCGATGTTTTTGCCTGAGATCTGACCTTCGAATCTGCAAATGTAGATCAAGCAACTAACAATGAGAAAAAAAAAAAGTACCACTTTTTAAGTAAAGTGGGAAGACACGACATATCCGTATAAAACATTTCTCATTGAATCTAATTTGAGGAAAGGCATGAAAGTCGATATTAAATGTCCAAAGTGCCACTTCTACGAAATTGTGCATATCATTTAATTAAGATTACGTTAACAACATAACTTGACAGAGAGAAGAAATATTCAAGACGTCAGCGTTCACACCACAGACGTCAAGATCAAGAAAGATAACCATTATAAGTTCCTTAGCGGCTTTGGCTTTGTAGGTTTAACAGTTACATACCCTTCCTTCAGAGTCAAAATAGCTGTGTGCACAGCATCATCGAGCTCCATATCATCAGTATACCTAAGAAAACAGGAAACATAGAAAAGAAGGCAAAAGAAAATGTTTAGGATCAATTAGGAGGAGGAAGGAGAGGAGAAAACAAGAGAAAGAAGTATAAAGGACGAGAGAGTTAAGAAATGCTAAAAGATAAAAATGCATGTCCCTTTAAATATTCACATTTATTGACTCAAAATTAACTTAAAAGCTAGACAAGGATGGCTACAATATCATAAAGAGGAACAGTTGCAACCTCAAAGTAAAAGGAGAGTTGTGGTAAATGACTAGGCACGAGTGTTGAATATTGACATGTGTCCAATTCTCACATTTGTCTATTTCTTCTATGAACTTAATTTGTCCTATAGTCCTATATCAAATTTCTAGATGTTTCTGCAAGGGGGCCATGATGTTACCTCATAAATTAAGGAATGATGGAAGAGAGAGAGAGAGAGAGAGAGAGAGATGGAACAGTAATAAATCAAAAAGTAAATAAAAATGAAACATTCATCAAAGGCAGAAAAATAGTAGTCAAACTAAGGGCTTGTGTTAAAAGAATCATTTTTCATTTCAGCAGCCACAAACACGCCTAATTTAGTTAGTATGTGCCAGTTTTGACCATATTCTGTCTCAAATACCTCTTCTCAAGGAATGTTTTTGCATTTGAAACATTCTTTCCCATTGCAGAGGCTTTCCATGAGAAATATGAGCCTGATGGATCAACCTAGAGAAAATAAAAGCAAACGGGGAAAAAAATCAAAGGCAACCAAGATTAGAAACATCATTGCCAGTACTTGATGTGAAATACTTTTATCTCTGTATAATTAAAGTATCAGACCCAAATGGGGAAAAAATCAAAGGCAACCAGGATTAAGAAGGAAGTTTTTTCTTGAAAAAATCCAAACAAAATCTTGAGAATGAAAGTTACCTGGAAGAGTTGAGGACCATTGTCATCAAACCCAGCAACAAGTAAAGAGACCCCAAAAGGCCTCACACCACTACCCAAAAAGAAAGAAAGACATTACAGATCCATCAGCAACAAAATTGGTTAGAAAATCAGATAAAATAGTCTGATGAATATGTAAATTAACTTCCAAATTTCTCAATCCATTGCAGTATTTTTTTCTTACATAAAACGAAGAATTTGATATTTGTCTAATAGAACATGTATAATAAAGCAGTAGTAGCCTTTTTTCATTACCCAGATTGAGGGTTTTTTTTTTTAATTTACTTATTTTTTTCACATGAAAAAAAAAAAAAAAAAAAAAGAAAAAACACTTGATATTTGTCTAATAGAACATGTCTTATGAAGTGGTAGTAGCCTTTTCATTACCCAGATTGAGTGAATTCCTGCATCACAGCAGCAGTTTCCCTGACAAGTTGAGTAACAGGGATTGGTTCCTACAAATAAGATATTTGAATACGAACTTGTTAATACAAACTTGCAACAGGAATGATGAATATAGCTGCAATCCACCATGTTGGATCAAAAGAAAAGGGGAAAAAAATAATAGGAAACAAAGTCAGAAACATCTAGTACCTTGTATAACCTATGATATTGCTCTGCTTGCTTTCTACTTTTCCGGACCAAGACTCGAAAATCAGGACCCATACCACTGTAGTAGAGAAAAGAATAAAATTAAAAAGTTGGAAGCTAGACAGATGAAAGTATCAAGATGTAATAAATTGGAAAAAAAAAAGTTATATATATATATATATATATACACACATCTTAGAAGGCTGCAAACTGCCACCAATCGGGGTCAGATAAAGATGTTGATATGCACGTGTTAATGGAAACCAAATTTGTATAATTTCCAAATAGAAGATATCACCTAATGGACAATCATAACATCCCAGGATATCATGAATATGCTTAATTTCGCTGTATCAAAAAACAGAAATGGTGCTTAATGTCACTCATCATCCGGTAACAATCTGCCAATGGTTCAGCACTATGCTAGAGTGGATATTTAGTAAACACAAAAAAGTTTCCAAATCAGTCCAACAGATATTCTTCTTTAGAAGTTATCAATATCCACACAATAAGCTGGTTTTCTCCAGTTAAACCAAAAATAAGAAATCTTCCAGTGATGTATAATGAATCCTTTTAGTCATAAACCTTTTGCCTTATAATGCTGCTGAAGCCAAGAAATTCATTTAATCTAAAGACAATGTGATAGTCATAACTTCTACAATATTTTCAATTGGAAGCCACAAAAGCAAACCTGTAAACAACTCCAATATTTGGCGTCAAACTCTGGATTTTTTGAACCTACAAAAAATAAGATCATACTTAAATATACTTTTGGAGGCATGGACAGATTGCAGTGCTTCTAAAACTAGGAAAGTATGACATTTCTTAATTGTTTTAGGGTACGAAACAAACATTTTAATTAACTATAATGCAGAGGACGAGAACAAGGTAACAGATATTTAGCTTTTACAATTTGTTTCATCGCCACAGCACAAAATCAGGCTTGAACATGAGATCCAAAGATTGTGAGGACATAATTCCAAAAAAAAAAAAAATGAAATGAACAAGATAGAACTATCAAACCAGAAGATTCAATTCCTAGGACATTGAGTTTATATTGGATAGAATGAAGTTTTGGGTTTCTTCAACGCAGGATTTTAGAGACGATCCACTAATTTTAGCTTACCTATAAGGATTTAATTTGAGTTCCTGTTTATGTAGCCATGTTGTAAATTATTTAGAATATTAGTTATATGCAATTCCATCCTTCACCCAGTGCACATGTAACTCTCATGACGGAAAAAAAAGGACTTGTCATGGGAAGCTCAAAGCACAAAAGAAAAAGAAGAGGATTAGATTCTTCTAAACAAAGAACATAAGAAAAGGAGAAGATTAAAAAGCAAAAAAAACACAAAAGACTAGCAAACCAAAAAACTAAAGAATGAATGAAAATGTTCCAGCGAAAGAGGAAAGCCTCATACAAATTGATTTAACAAACATAAAATCAATGGGCAGATATGGCATAATGTGCAGGCTCAAGTCCAACAGTTCCAAGCCAACATACATAATAACCAATCAAAATTATTATACAATAACAGATATAATTTAGGTTAAATCCTTTTCTATACGTCCACATAAAGTTATTATTATACCCGCAATCAATCAAACATATTCCAACTTAAACTAAACACAGTGAAATTGAATTAGGGCATACTCAAAAAGGACCATAGACACTTACAGATGACTCGTCAACCAAGATTGAAGGAAGTTTCTTCTCAGTCGCAATAACAACACCATTAGCAGCTGCAATGACCAGCTAAGCATCAGTTAAACCTCATTTAACACCAAATAAAAAAAAAATCATTTCCACAAAGCGACGGCTAAATTCCGGCCAAATCCATACCAAAATCCCCTTTTTCCATATCTCGATTAGGGATCGCTCATCAAATCTCATCGTCGATTCAACGAAAATAACGAACCCTAGAAAAGTGTTTGAGTGGAAGATTTTTACCTTTGATTCCGAGGGAGGTTTGGCCGGAGCCGACCGCCGTCAAAGCGTGCTCGATCTGAACCAACTTTCCCGAAGGACTGCTCAACAAGAACGGCCATATCAATGGAAGAAAATTTCGAGTAATATCAACATCTGAGAACGAAAATGCAAGGATAGAGAGAGAGAGAGAGAGAGAGATTATCACCTGAAAGTAGTGAGAGAAAATGAGTACTGACTGTCTCCCATGGCTGCCGGAGAGAGAACGTTAAATCGAAGGTTTTAGAGAGAGAGAGAGAGAGATTTGAGGTTCCGGAGAGAGAAGTGAAGTGTAGAAAAAGGGGAATTTTGCTTTCTTGTTCAAGAAGACGAAGATCTGTTTCCTTTTCTAAAAAACAACCAAAAAAAACAAAAAGTCCATTAAAAAAAAGAGCGTC